TAGTGCCGGCCAGCTTCTCTCTCCATCATTTCTAGGACCACCAAAGTAGAATTTAGTGTGCTTTCTGTAATATTCTTCTTTAAAGCACATCATGTAAGATGTACTAGTTCCTTTAGAAGGTACTAACTTGCCCTTTAGGGTGATCTGTGACCTGTCTCCATTCTTTTAACAAGGGTTATTTTAAAGCTACAGTTTTATCACATGTACATCATTTTTGGAAGAAAAATGTTCTGTTTCAGAGTCTAGATCCTTCCTGTAGGTCACATTTCTTCAGTTCTCAGGAGGAGTTAACCAATTAAGCATTGAGAATTGAAAGTGATTGAGGCCCATATATGACTTTATTTAAAACATCAATGGGATAATTAATGTTATTATCCAATGCTATCTTGTAATTGTTACCTAATTATGCCCAATTTTGGGACTCCAGGATACTTGACTTAATTACTTGCAAAAATAGCAACTAGAATATCACCTAGCACTTTGCACATGCTATAATATCAATGGTTTTCCAGTGCAGTGCCCCAGGCATGTTAGTTAACCTTTGATTGATATATTCCTTAATTAAGTGAACATTTTAAGAACCAGCTGCTATAAGATTATTTCTTTGTTGCTTTGTATGGCCCTCCCCCACGGCATAACCCCTGCTTTCACTGTATTTGATGTTGTTGTAATTTGTGGAGGGGAAGGGAAAAAAACAAATCATTTAAATAGGGATACAGGTAGACCCATTGCAACAATGAGACATACAAGTTGCTATGTCGAAAACGAACTTTACAACTTTATGGGGGGTGGGTGGGGGCAGGGGGGGAGTATGGGATGGGAAGGGGAAACAAAGGAGGAGGCTACAATGCTTGATAAGCAATGTACTCATTATCTTGCCCATGTAATTGTAACCCCTCTGTACAGTACTTTCACAATAAAAAAAAGAACCAGCTGCTATCTTAATGGATACTGAGAATATACATACAGCAACAAAAAAGTCAAAATCCATGTTCTTGTCCTGTTGATATCTAGTAAGATCTAGTAGCATTGCCAAACAATAGACAAATATGCAAAGAAGATAATTAGGATGTGAAAAATAATGTGGCAGAAGTGAGGCAAGGTAAGGATGGTAATATTTTTGTAGGGTTATAAGGGAAAGACCTCTTTATGCATCATTTAAATAAACTCCTGTAGATAACAATGAGCTAAGAATGCAAAGACTATCAAAGCCTGAATGCTGGGGTGTTATCAATAAGTTTAAATGTAAAATGACCTAATCTGGATTGGGTATGGATAATACACATTGAAGAACATTGTGTACATTTAAAAGGAAACAGTTCAAGATCAGTTCCATGTACCACACCTTTCAAACACTACTTTGTGTGATACCAGCTGTTAGTGTTGAAGCTCTCAAAGCCAAAGATCTTGGGAGATGAAAATTGGCATAAACCTTGGGTGCATGGGTCACCTATAAGAAGAAATAAAGGAAATCGTGTGGCTAAGGTGGGGTGTTCCTCAACAAATGGTTCAGAACGTGAGGTCTTACATCACAGCTGTATTTGGTTCAGAACATGTAGTCTCACATCACAGCGGTCGTTGGTCTGATTCATAGGGTTGTTGAAAGTTCAGTAGAACAGTTTTCACAGCAGAAGGAATCTTTATGGGTTCTTGAACATAAAAGTTGCCTAGTTTAAAAAGAGAAAATTTTAATCAGTTATGCGCCAATAAAAACCAAGAAATTCCTGGGAAGCTATATAGGAGGACCTTTTTATAATCATTCATTTCATTGTACCTGGTGGTGAGATCATGATTTGTGCTCATCTCTGAGAATGAGCTATACACACAAACCATTTCAGTTGAATTAATAGCATGTGCTGACTGAAGGGCAATAAAGCAAATGTCAAAATGCCTGCTCCTAAGTTGAGAAGTTCAGACAATAGCAGCTATGGAAGTGGGAATGTTTTCCAGGGGTATTAAATGATTGATCTAAGTTGGATGTGTTAAATTTCACAAGACAGGAACTCTGAGCTGTGATGTTTGCACACAAGTAAAAGTGAAGACTAAAGCAAAAAGGGGAGAACTGAATTTGAGAATGCAAAAAGATGATGAAAACTGAAGCTAAGCTCTTGAAAATTAATGTTTCTGATTAAGAATGTGTGTATAAATGTGGGAGATGGAAGAGATTTGGAGGGAAGAAGAAACAGAGACAGAGCAAGTGAGGAAAGGAAAAAAGGGGGAGGGGGAAAGGAGGAGGATGTGAGAGAAAATAGGAACCCAAATAGGTAAAAAGTGCCAAAGAGCAGTCAAATGAAACTGGGAACAGGAAAGAATCTCAGACAGTAAATAGGGAAAGTTACTGGGGAAAATCTATTAACATTACCACCATAAAGACTGCAATTAACCTTTTAGAGAGATGACTATCTGGCCCTAAGTTCTGTAAATATAATAACATTTCTTTCCACTGCCTTAAAAATAAATGCTGTTGTTATATCTTTTATAGACAAGGGAATTTAGGCACAGAGAGATTAAGCAATATGCCCAAAGATTACTCGCTTTAAAGAACTAAAGCTGAGATTCAAAAACAGGCATTGTGCCTTCAAAGCATGAGCCTTTAACTCTCCTGCCATATGCTTATATTCAAGATGATGTTTTAATTACATAGTTTGCCTACCGTCTTATATAAGTGTCTTGAAAAAGAGTTAATTAACAGTTTTAAAAGTTGGGTAAAAAACAGAAAGTCAACAGATGGCTGGGCAGTGATTGGATACATCCTTACAGAAGACAACTTGTAATTCTCTAGAGGAAGGTAGAGAAAAGAAAGGAAATACATACCTTTTGATCTTTGTGGTTTTTCTCCTTTCCCTGCAATCACTGTTGTTTATTGAGATAGAAAAATGCCCCCTTTGATGAGAATGACAATAGTAAATTGTGGAGTAAACGGCATTTCTATTACTTACAACTTTCTGTGTATTACAAATGTATGTGTTGTCTATAAATAGCTACAAGAATTGACTTTCAAGAATTTTATACTCAAACTCATTTTTTAACTTTCATTACTAAATGAGGGATTCTGAAAGAATAGGACTCGTGTGGTAGCATGTGTTGGTATTACTGGATAACGACCTTCAGTCTCAGAACCCAAGTACTTGGGGTTTTCCATAGAGGGGCTTGAGTCTCAGATCGAGGTATATACTGGATCTCTTCCCACTAGATAAAGCACACATGACTTCCTTGATAGCTACAGTAATGAATCCTTCCCCCCACTGGCTGAGGAAGCACTTTACTTCCGTTTTCTACCTTCCTTCAGTCTCCTCCACCCTTCCTCATTTCTCCTGTGTTTGAAACAAAGGCAGAGGAAAATAGTAAATTCCCAGTGCATCAGACTGACCCATACAGTTTGAAGGAGAAAGGACAAGTCACCTGATGGTTACTCTAGCTGTCGCAGAGAAATCAGTAACAGTCCTTTTTTCAACAATTAAGGGGGCACTTTTTCTTTGGACCTAAACTGTGAGTGGATATCATCAGATTGCTCTTCTTCTTCTGCCCAACTGACTTAATTGTTCAGAACTTTATTTTCCTACTCTTAACAGAATAAAATCCTTAACATTGCATTTCTGATTCTCCATGGCATGGTTTGGGCCCAAGCTGTGGATGCCCATCCGTTTTTGTTGTTGTTGTTGTTGTTATTTCATGGTGTACTCACTTTATTTTCCATTATTGACAACAATGTCAATAATGGAATGTCCCACTGCAACAGCAAAATCAGATTCTGTATTGGTGCACTAAGGAAACTGAGTGGATGACAGTGATTTTCTGTATATACACACTTGTGTTCAAGAGTATGTTCCATGTGCCCATAAAATTGGAACAATTGACACTATAAGCAATAAATTAAAAATTACTGTAACAAATTATTACAGTAACATTATCTTTAAAAATCTGTGCTTAGTGAAAGGAGAGAGAGAGAATGAGGGAAATGTGTTTTTGCTTCCTTCCTTCCTTTTTTTGTATTTTAATTTTATTGTCAACATGATGTACAAAGGGGTTACAGGTACATAAGTAAGGTAGTGATTACATTTTCTGTCTAACTTGTTACCCTTCCCTCATTTTTCTCCCTCTTTCCCTCCCCTCCAACGCCCTCCCCCAAGTTGTACAGACCATTTCCAACATACTGTCTTGTGAGTATCACTGTTGCATTGGTTCCCCCTTTGTCCTTTGTTTCACCATTTTGTTGTTCCCCTCCCCTTCCGTAACTCAGATAAATGTATATTTTTACCAGGACACTCTGTTTAATCAGACAGAACCCATCTGCAGGGTCACCTCTCTTCATCTGTGCTTATTAGACTGATCTTGGTCCTCTCTAGCCTGCTGTATTACTAGTCCTAGTTCAACACTGCTCATCTGAATTCTGTCTCCATGTAGAGCCTTGCTGAGTCCATCTGAACATCTGTAACATTTAGGATCTAGTTCTCATTTTGTCTTTATTATAGGCATGTTTTGCACATACTGTTTTCACTACCACACTCTTCTTCTCCCAGCTCACATATACTTAATATCAGAGAAAGTTGAAGCTGCAAAACTGAGAGTATGTCTTTTTAAAACATGTTTGCTTGTGCCCTAATAAATAACAATGCTCTGAGATAAGGCAACATCTTGTTCTCAGTCCAAGACTTCTCCAGTAATAATGGTTATCCCCGATGTGCATGTTGAAAATACCTAAATTGCCTGTGAGGCTCTTAAAAGCCTGATCAAGGGGCCCAGAACAATAGAAATTGAAATGTAGGGAGTGGAACCCACCCATTTGTACTATTAAGATTTAAACTGCAACCAAGATTGGCAACAACTGCCCATAGCATAATGGTCCATGGACCAAGGATTACTTCATAGGTAATTCAATGAAGACACTTTTATTATTTCAGATAAAGAACTTGACAAGAAGAGTGGTAAATGTGAGGTAATAGTATAGAGCATTTTATTTTCCTTGCAACAGTAGCTTACTTAACTGTTTAACTTTTCAGATATTTCGAAAGAAAGCAGTGGAACTTGGGGTAAAATTGCTACCTGCATTTCATACTCCCTCTGGAATACCTTGGGCATTGCTGAATATGAAAAGGTAAAACTCTTAATTTTCAACAACATATTTAAGGTGAATTATTCAAGATTGTGTCCTAACAAGTACACACTGGGTGGATAATGCCAGTGTGAGGCTAGTGGCTGACGTATTGGAAGTCTTGGGAAGCTATCCTGTCTTGAGAAGCCATTAGCTTTTCAGTGTCCCATACTGAGCTAGTATGATCCAATAGAAGCATACAAATCAGACATGATCTGAGCTTTTCACTATTTCATGATGATGTTGGAAGTCAGTGGTACCATTCCTCTCCATAAATACCAGGAGAATACCTTTGTCTTCTGATTTGTCACAACAGTGTTTCACAAGGAAGCAATTTCCTATGACCATTTAGTTCAGTTAAGTTACTGGAGTTACTGCAGAGATAGAACACTTGAACTGATCAGAACCCACAGACGAAGAGCTAAGAGTGCGAGTACTAACAACCCTGCCCATGGTTGTTAGAAAGAAGGAAACTGATCCACTCAACCTTCCCCTCCATGCTTAGTGCAGAAATCTAGTATCCTGGAGTCCATTAGAATGTAGGCTCAATAAGAAAAAAATGTAAGGTGAATGAACTTTCTGGCGTTCTCCCAAGAATATGTTTGAGTCTTCATAAAAGCTTGAGCATTTCACTAATAAAATTTTGTACTAAGCTTCCTTCTTAACTCCTTTCTCCTCACAAATTATTTATGGTAGCCAGGTACCGGTGGCTCATGTGCATTATCTTAGATACTCAGGAGCCTGAGATTTGAGGATCATTGTTCAAAGCCAACCCAGGCAGGAAAGTCCATGAGACTCTTCCTCCAATTCAGCATCAAAAATATGGAAGTGGAGCTGTGGCTCAAGTGGTAGAGTACTAGCCTTAAGCACAGAATTTCAGGGACAGCACCCAGGCACTAAGTTCAGGCCCCAGAACCAGCCCACAAAAAAAAAGGTTGTTATATGGGCCTTTTTTCAATAATGATGAGACTGGATATAGTTCTAATGTTCATCCATATAATGCATAGGTTCTTTACATGTATTAATGCATATACTCTCACAGCACCTCATCAGTAAGATCAATATTATTGTTATCCTCATCGTATTCTTAGGAAACTAGAGCCAAAGAGAGATTAAGTTGCCTAACATCATTCAGGAAATAAATAGGAGAGCTAGCATATATGCTTAGATGTTTATTTGAATAGCCACAGATGAAATGCCTTTCTTGTTTTAGAAACACCAAAAGTATAAGTAAGGTAGTTTTCCAGAATTAGTACACTTTTCTTCTTCTTCATTTTAGTGAGATTCTGTCCTAAAATTAATCATGAAAAATCATAGAAATTGATGGTTTTCCTTTAATAAATAAAAGCATAGAATGTCCTTGTTTTGTTTTCATTTGTCTGCTATATACGTTTACTTTGAACTCACTCTGTACCTGTCTATTAGTGCACATGTCTCAAGATGGCAGAGGAATAGAGCGAGTTGTACCACCAGGCCATGTTAAATTGAAATAATTGTTTGTATAATATGATGGCTCAGGATCTTCTTCCAGGAAGACTTCCAGTAAGGCTTCCAAGTCTTTCTTTATCAGCTTGCAAATCTCTGCATACACTGCAGAGATGATTTTGGTTTGGGAGGAGGGGAGGTTTGTTTGAGTTTTTTTGTTGTTGTTGTTTCTTTCTTATTTTTTTTATTTTTTATTTTTGCCAGTCCTGTGGCTTGAACTTGGCTTAGGAACTGTTCATGAACGTCTTTTACTCAAGGTGCACTCTGCCACTTTGAGCCACAACACCACTTCCAACTTTTTCTGTTTAAGTGGTACTGAGGAATCAAACTCAGGGCTTCATGCATGCTAGGCAAGCACTCCACCACTAAGCCACATTCCCAGCCCCACTGCAAGGTTTTAGGCTGAGTCTGCTGATGATGGCTTGGATATTTTTTGGAGGCCCTGTGAATTTTCACCTTTGACTCTCATAGGCCTTCTCTTTTACTTCCCTTATCTTTCGACTTTGTATTTATTTATAGATAGCATTCTGATGGAGATAGTGCTCTCTTACCTAACCTAATAAGATCTGGTCACAAAAACATTACAATTAACTCATTTTTCCACACTTTCTATCAGAAAAAACAAATGTGATACTATTATGGTTATGGCAATACATTCAATTAATTGGTTCTCAAGTGCATGTTTTTAGAGTTTTTACAGCAACTTAAGATTTGTTTTTGGAACCATCATTTAAACTCTCCAAGCTTAGCTCTAAATTGGGAGGCAGGCTGGCTCAGTAGTTCTTACGTGGGCCCACTCCTTTGCATAAATCAATTTAGTTATTGTGAAATGGTGATATCATTTAGTTTTGGTCTCACTTGGAATAAGCATAAGAATAGGCTAATTGTATTTTTACTAAATGTTTATTTCTTACTGTCAAATGAACTTTTCCTTGGTGAAATTCATTCTTAGTGTACTGTGGAATATTTTTAGTACATAAAGGAATATTTGCTTATTAATTGATGATTTGTACCCGTGCCTGTTGGAAAATGATCAATGACAGCATCCATTGTTATTGTATCTTATTTATTCCATTAGAATTGTGTGTTTAAGTTCAAAGATTATAATAGTTATATCAGGTGAAAAATGATGATCATTTTCCAGTATGTATTATGTGATATTTTCATATTAAACTAGTAGAGATTATGTAATTATTTGGCATCTTATGTGAACACTTTGAATTTCTTCCTGGAAATTGGCACCATTTTTATTGTATATTTTATTCACTCTCCTTCCAGCTTATCAAATGGCAGTGACATACCCAAATTTGCAAACAACCATTGCCAAAATTAGTAGTAATGTTCATCCACCCAAACTCATCCTATTCCTTTGCCCAATCGTATATATTCATTGGATATAATCTCCAGTGGGCTGTGAAGCTGGCTTATCATCTAAAGTTTTTTTTCCTATAGGGGAAGAAAATATTTCCTTCTAATCTGTAGTATTAATTTTCATTCTTATCTACAGTATTGATTTTAATTCTTATAGTTTTTATTTTCAAGATGAGCTGCTGGACCCATGATCTCTGTATTTTCACAGTAAAACTCAAGGAATAGGGGAATACAGGCATATTGCTCTAATTTTTGAAGGCTGTCAGTAGGGAAAGTTTCAAAGAGAAAGGGAAAAAATATCTAGCAAATCCTATTTTCTTAATTACCTTCTCAAAATAAGAGAATGTTTGTGGAAGGATGGGAGGTGGGACTGCACACACTTTTTAGACACTCTTGACTTGCTTTAAAACATTATGATCCGAGAGGCACTGAACATGCTTGTTGAAATGTCATAATTTTGCTCTTTCTTCTCTATTTCAAAAATAGTTGTGAGTGCTGCTCTTTGAGAACATCTATATGTTAACACAAATATGAACTTGCTGGTCTTATCTGTTCACATTCCTCTAGTTGTCAGGTTGTTGTCCAAAAATAATTGGTTTCTTTACTGTTTCTTGGTGAAAATAAGCATGTATTTGAGTCCCTGCTGAGATGATGGATCCATTGTAAAGTCTGAGAAACTTGTCTATTTCTTTTCACTTTATTCAGAAGGTAACAGGGAAATTCTTTCTCTCAAGAAACTCATAGTCTTGTTATACCATGTTATACACACATGTAGCTGATGGAGGAGCATCTGTGCTGAGGAATGATAATGCTCACTGGGTTGAATTTAAAGTAGATGGTATTTTGAATCAGAAAGTTCATATATTTGGAGACAAAAATACCAATAAAATGGATTGGACTTCAGTAATTATATAAGCCGCAAATATGCAGCACAATCTATGTATAAATATACATATACTACCTTAGAAAATATACAGAGAGCCTACATAATTTATATGTGTGCTACCTTAGGAGCTCTGTACCAGAATCCATCTAGAGGAAAAGAACTTGTCCCTTCTGCCACCTCTGTAAGAAATTCCCAATTCAAGAGATACCATTTAGGTAGTAAGGAGTTAGAATTATGACTTAATAGGGAATAGTTATTTGATGGCCTAGGTGTTACAGACAAGCATGTTTGCTCACCAAGACAGTCATAAAATGAGGATTCCCCTCCTCCCATTATGTAGCGTATCTGCTGAATGAAAACCACAGTCTTCCTAGGAGATTACATTTGGATATAACTCAATTTTTCTAATGTAAAAATGTCCAAATTTGATGTCTGATCTAGTTACTACTATTATTAGCAGGAGGACTTACAATTTTTTCTTCAACTTGCAGCAGAAAAATTAAGCATTTCACCATTTCTATATTTTTAGGAATAGCTTAAGCCTAGGTATAACATGGACTTAAATAATGTAGTTAATGTTCCCATTATTCATTTCTATCATGAGGCACACAGTCTGAGCATTCCTAATAATTATTCTGTCCTTCTTGATAAATGAGTTTGTTTTAGTTGTATATTATTTTATCACTTATTTCTTTTCGTGGATTTTTCTGAACTGATACTTGCCTAGTGGTTACATTAACTCAGTGGAACTGTCTACAATTTGAGCTTTTATTGTGCACCAGCAGAAGATATGCTGAGACCTGTCTGATATCCATGCAGGCTCTCATTAGCCAGCCAGGTGAGAATGAGGTACAACTCTGTCACCTGGTTTTAAACTTGGTAAAGCTTTATTTGCTGGCTGTTCTAATTAGCTGAGAAAAATGCATATTGTCATTGGTTACATTGCAATTCTTATTTTAATTGAATTGGAAATCCCTTTACCAGTAAAAGAGCCTTAATTAAGAACAGTACAGATATCACTTGATGTTTTCTCATGATTTTCTTTCTCTTAGTCCCCAGACATTTCTTATGTGAACCATGTACTATGTATATTTTAGCAAAAGGTGATGGATGACCCCTTGTATTGAGTTTCATAATGTTGATGGTATAAAATGCTGAAAATTAAAGTGTTGGTTAGCTTTAAAATGTACTTGGTTGGTTGTAACAGACACAAACTAGGACAGTTTAATAGGTTATATATCCTTAACATATTTTCCTGACT